ACGTCATTTTCTTAATGGCATGTGTTAAAGAACCAAGGCTTTTATTATTTATCCATTTATTGGATTTTATTATTTATTTTTCATTTTATTATTATATAACATTTTTTTCTTTGTGATTCAAGCTTTTCATGTTCTATCCAAGAAATGTCCACCTACCATGGCAGCAAACTATTTCTCCCATATTTTTCCTAAGAGTTTTATAGTTTTAGCTTGTTATATTTACACCCAAGAGCATTTCAAGGTAATATTTACGCATGGTACAAGGTAGGGTTGGTCTTCATTTTTACGCCCATGGCGAGGGCTCGATTCAGTTCATTTCTGTGGAACAGGTAGTATACTGGAGTCCTTCTTATTAGCACAGTGAATGACATTGATTGATTTCCTTGATGTCACACCAGCTTTGTTTCCTGAGACAGACCCTTCTTAGTTATGATAGATAGTGTTCATTGTATACAAGAGAGCCTCAAAAAGTCCATTGGATAAGAGCTGTAAGAGCCTCCAATAAAATGATCTTTTAATAAAAAATTTTAAAAGAGAACAATAGAAACATTCCATTATCTCTTGGTTCTACTTTTCCACATACTTTTTGATTTGACTGATTCTTTTATTAAAATGTTTTGCTTCATGAGGGATCTCAGGATATAGCTCCTTTCAGCCTCTTTTGTTTTAAGTTTCATGCAGGCCTTATAAAATGAGCTAGGAAGTAGTCTGTCCTCTTCCATTTTTTGGAAGAGTTTGTGTAAAGTATGTATCGTTTCTCCCCTGGTTGGAAGAATTTATCAGTGAATTCTTCAGAACCTATTGTGTGCATGCACACATTTGATTGTTCAACCTTCTTGATGAATTGATCCCCTTTTACTACTGTGAAATGTACATCTTTTATATTTGCCAGTATTCTTTGTTCTGACATGTATTTTGCTAATGCAGACTACTCCCCGTCTCTCACAGGCTTACACTCTGTATGGCTTCCTGACAGTTTTTCACATGCTGAGAAAGTCCATTCATTCGTACATGAATCTGAAAAATGTCCAGACGTTTGTAATTGAATAGACAAAAACTTAAATATCAAAACGGACCAATGTTTTTGAACAGACATAGCACACAAGAAGCAGTAAGCACACGGGAAGGTGACCAGCGTCGGCAGGCGTCAGGGAGACGCAGACCATTGGGAAGACTGACAACACCAAGAGCTAGCTGTCAGCAGTGTTCCGCAGTTGGAGCTCTCATATATTGCCAGTTGGAAGTAAAATGGGAAAATCGTGGCATAATTTCTTACTGAATGAAGCATACCTGTACCATACAACCGAGCAGTTCCATGCCTAGAATTTCTTCCCAAGAAACAAGTCCACAGAAAGACCTGTGGACAGCTGCTTTGTTCACAGGAGCAGAAACTGGAAGTAAACATCAGCGGTGAATTGATACGGGATTTGGTGCACTCTTCTAGCGGAATAAAGCCAAAAACCAAGTCCATGGCCATCGAATCAGTTCCAAGTCATAGAAGTGGCCCTATGTAAGGTTTCCAAGACTGTAACTCTGTGGGAGCAAACAGCCTCATCTCTCTCCCCCATAGCAGCTGGTGGGTTTGAACTCCTCACAGGCTACTTAGCAGCCCAATGCTTACTTAGCCCCCCTTGGTACCAGGGCTCCCCAGAAAGAAAGAAACAGATGACTGATATGACCATCAGCATATATGAATCCCAAAAAACCCTTGTGCTGAGCAAGAGAAGCCAGTCAAGAGTGTGTTCTCTTTGAGAGCCAAATATAGGAGCTTCTGGAAGCGCCACAAACCAGTGGTTGTCTGGAAGTGGAGTGCGGGCTCAGCAACGACTGAGATGGTGGACATGCTCTTCCCTTTACTGGGGCTGTCAGTCGGACAGATGTGTCCATTTGCCAATGCACACTGAAAAGTATAGGCTCAAAGTAGGTTCAGAAGGTTCATATTGTATGTAAACTATTTAAGTATCTAATTTGGCATTTAAACAGAGTTCAGTTTGAAAGTAGAGCAGAGGCTATTGGAGAATCGGGATAGATGGAGTCCTTGGGTGACCTAAAGAGTTATGCTCCTGACTACCAGCCGGAAGGTTGGCATTTCAAACCCACCCAGAGATAGCTCAGAAAGAGAGACCTGCAGAACTGCGCACAAAAAGCCACAGCCATGAAACCCTGGGGACAGACACACCTGGCATCACCATGAGTCCAGATGGACTTGACAGCAACTGGCTTGGTTTGGGGAGTAGAGTCAGGATCATTAGTGCCTCCTAAGTGATTCTTGTCTCAGCATTGTTGGTTATCGAACTTGTTTCTGACCATTAACTACTTGGCTAGCCCAAGTTGAAAGCAAAAACTTAACTGCTGTCAAATCGATTTGGACTCATAACAATCCTGTAGGAAAGAGGCAGACTGCTCCCCCACCCCAGGTTTCTGAGGTTGTGACTAGGGCAGCAGTAGAAAGCCTCACCTGTCTCCCAAGGAACTGCTGCTGGGCTCAAACCGCCAGCCTTTTCGGTTGCCAGCGCAGCATTGAACCCACTGTATAAGCAGGCCCCTGGAAAGTCCAGCCGACCCAGCAGACCCACTGGCACAGTGGTTCCCCTAGGCTGCTTCTCTACACCCTGATACAAGGACAGTGCCACCAGCGGAAATGAAAGACTGGCTCCCATTCTCCCTGCAGCTTAACATGGCTCTGTGAATGTTTTGGGCAGTTGTACAAGGAGCCCTGATGGTGGAGGGTGTTGAGTGTTGGGCTGTTAACTGAATGGTTGATAGTTCAAAGCCACCAGCCACTCTGTAGGAGATAAAAGGAGGTACCCTGCTCGCATAAAGATTTGCAGCCTGGGAAACTCTAGGAGACAGCTCTCCTCTGTCTTGCAGGGCCATAGGTCTCAATCATACATATGACCCTGCAGGACAAAATGATAATGAGTATCGGTCATGCACATGCTTAGTGGGTACCAGTCATATGTGGCTAATTGCAAGCCCTTTGTGAGTCCAAGGGTCCTGATTTCCGAGTGCAGTCAGGTTTGGTTGTTACACTCAGAGACGGGAGCGGTTGATGCGGCACACCAAGTGAGTGCTCTGAGCCCAGGCTTAGTCAGAGTCTCACTTTGTAGCTGGGTGTGCGTCACTCAGCATGAAGGTGGTCAAAATTATTAAAAATGCAGTAGTTCTGAAACATTGATCTCATTTGGGGATAAAGAGGGTATGTGTTTATCTAGTTTATAGAAAGAGTAGTCCCAGGACAGCTGGAGAATAGAGAAGTCGCAGTTATAGAAAACCCTTTTAGACTCCTGCCAAGGGAAGATTCAACTAGTCTGATACAGACCGGTCCCACCTCAATTACTCACTGGGAGTCTCTCTTCTCACCTCCCAGAAGAGCTTTGGGAGGCCACAGCCACCCTGGGTCTCAGTCATTCTCACAGCTTCAGTTACCTTTAGGTTGGATCCCCCAAATCTAGTGAGCTGCCTCCGTGCGGACCTGCCGCCTTGTGTCCATGGTCTCTGAGGCCTTTCCTGGGGTTGGGGGGGCCTGGGGGGGGGGACCCACAGGCCCTGTGGCTTGGGGACGATCGCAGCTGCATGCATTTCCCTGGCTCTGTCTCCACTTGGCCTTTGTATCATCCAACTGTGGCCTCTCCATAGGAGCTGGGAGCCTTGTCTTCTTTGACCCCTCCTCCAGATCCAGTGGGAAATTGTAGCCCAGTCTCCCTTGGAAATGCCTTTGGAGGGTGAGGGTGGGCGTGGGAGAAAGGCAGGGGTCTTCAGCCCTCACTGCCTGAAGAGCAGCTACTCCAGGATCACCGAGCACACAGCCCAGGAGGGTTCCCTGGGGGCAGACCTGTTCTGCCCACTCCCAGCCCATTGGCCTCGCATCACACCCTCCTCTGGCGGCCCCTCCACTCCCCTGCAGAGCGCACGCGAGACATTGTGAGCGCCCCCTCGGTGGGTACCTCCCTCATGCCCCCATCATTTCCATTTGGTTGAAGGAGCCCACCCCCAGGAGCTGGTGACCATCTTCACGGTCTGTCAGCGACTGGCACGCTGCCCTGCTGTGTGTCACCCTTTTGACCCTGACCTCGACCGTCTGCTTCCAGGTGGATCTATCTGAACGACCAGAACTTGTGCATCCCAGCCAGCTCCTCCTTCGTGTACGGGGCCGTGCCCATCGGGGCCAGCATCTACGTCATTGGAGATCTCGACACAGGTAAGGGCTTGCTGCCGTGGCTTGGGCCAGCTCATCGCGACCCCAAGGCCTAGAGAGGGGCTCACCTTTGCCTCCACTCATGTTCCAGGCACCAATTACGACTACGTGCGAGAGTTTAAGAGAAGCACGGGCACCTGGCACCACACGAAGCCGCTGCTGCCCTCCGACCTGCGCCGCACAGGCTGCGCAGCCCTCCGCATCGCCAACTGCAAGCTTTTCCGCCTGCAGCTCCAGCAAGGCCTGTTCCGCATCCGCGTGCCTTCACCCTGAGGGGAGAGCCTGGCCCACGGGCACCGGGGCACCACCTTCTGGCGGGGCGGCGCACGCTCCGGCCGGCCTGTGGGCTCCGGGTGCTGCGCTCGGGCCAAGTGGCCCGTTGGTGGTTTGTTGCTGCTTCAAAGCTCGCTCTCCAATCTTTGTGCGGGAGACCCCCTGAAAATACCCAAGAGGAGGCCCGAACTCGTCACTCGGAAGCGGGCCAGGGGAGCCGGTGTGATGCCCAATGGTGAAGTCCACCTACTGAGGTGCATTGTCCCTGATGGGAACTCCTGCCTGCCTGACCGCTGTGTTCAAGTACATGGCTTTGGTAGACAACCATCTGTATATGCAAACCCACATAGCCAGACAGACCAAGGTCGCCCTTCTACTGCACTTGGGGGTGGGGGGTGGGGGTTGTGTGCCAGGCCCTACCCAGAAAATTTCGGTGTGTGCCTAAAACGTTAGATGGGATGCCGGCCCACCCGTCCCCACTTACAACCACCCCTCTGTCCCAAGAAAGAGGCTCTCTCAAATGCCACCACAGGGGACTGAGCTGACCTGAGGACACCGTGTGCTGCCATAGCACTCGGTCTCAGTGATGGAGTGATTTGGTTCTGGGGTGCAGTGGGGTGCGGGGGGCCTCCCAGGGAAGCCACCTGGTGCGTGTAGAGGGAACCAGGGAAGATCCCGCGCCATGCCCTCCTTCCCTCTCAGTGGATCAGGACCTTTGTGATACATAGACGGCTGCTTAGCAAGTCAGATATTTCATACAGACAGACCCAAGTCCAAGGACTCATATAAAGTCAGCCCTGACTGTAAAAACCAACCAACCGACACTGTCCAGATAAACTATACGGGGATCAAAAATCCGTCAAGAATAATCTGTCTCAAAGCACACATAGCCTGCTTCTTTGGCTGCTTCGGGTTGGAAAGCGTGTCTTAGGATGCAAACCTGTGTTAAAAGCCTGGTAGTTGTCAACTTTCCCAAAGCTGGTCACTAGCTACTAACAGTTTTAGACAAACTGTTACGAGTAAAGTTTGGCTGGTAGAATGAACTACCTCAACTTAATTTCATCTTATTCCGAGGAGAGCAGGTTTTATTGCTTCCCGTCTTCCCCTCCTTGGCACTTATTTTAACCCACTCGACCCCACCTGTTATCAGCAGAGTTTATCGTCCATAAGTACTTTAATATTTACTATTAAGATCATCTGTTTTCCATTCACCTGTACCACCAGTGTGAAATCAGGGATTGCAGAGGTTTGATTACTTCATAATTTGAATTTTATGCAATATTCAAATTTCTAGTCAATTTACTATAGAATATTTTCATTTTTAATTGTTTTCTACTTTTTTTTCCTTCCCCTTAGACTATAGCTCTAGGAAGTAGCTTTTTGCCCTATTATTGATGAGTTAATGTACAAACATGTCCTTTGGCTGTAAATTAAAGAACAGGAGTTTCTTCTAGAAACTTCCTACATGGAATCTGCTTATGTGCTGTCAGCATGCATATGAAACATGGCTTAGGGGCTCACACCCGTGACTAGAAAGCAGTGTGTCCCACACACGCTGTTGTATTTCCTCTCACCCGTCCGAGGCTGCTTCGGTGACACCGCGACGGCTGCTGAAAGATGCCGTCTGGCAGGGCCCGCTGGGTGGGGTGTGCAGCTGGAGGGGGGGTAGGTGCTGATAAGGAGTCCTGAGGTTTGTCTTGTAGACCAGCAGCACTGAGCCAGTCTGTCCCCATTCCTGCCATTCAGTCCCAGGCGACGTAGGAGTCCAAGCTGGGTCTTCCCTCCGATGCCATGCGTGTCTCCCCAGCTTCGGTGCCCTTTCCTTGGAGCAGGGAAAGCAGCAGTTCTTCTTGCCGTCAGACAGTCATTTCTGAGAAAGCCGCTTGCTCACAAAGCGAGCTGCTTTGGGCGAGCGAGCCTGCAGAGCACAGACCTGAGCATCCGAAGCTGTGGCCGAGGGCTGCCCACGGGGGCTGGTGGTCCGTGCAGGCCATGAGCGCTGGCACGTCTCACTTGGGACTCTGGGATGGGCCACCCAGTCTGCACCAGTCCCCTCCCGGGGACTCCTCAGCACTAGCCCGTGGGGAGCAGGTCCCACCTGGACAGAACACTCTCAGTGCCGGTAGGCTGTGGTCCGTTCGCTGGATCAAACGGCTCCAGGGATTGCTGTTTTTGTTCAGTCCACTGACACTGTAGCTGCAGAAATTAGAGCACGTTCTAGGAACGCAGTTTGCCACATCATATGGGATGCACTAACCCACAAAAGCTGCTAAGTGCCAAAACTTGTTTTACTTATATAGCTTATAAGTATAAAACTACTGTTTTGAAGTATATGGGTATATTTAATGATGTTCCTAACTCAATTGTGATTTTTGTTTTATTTTGTAAGTTACACTTACTCCAGTACCGTGACATGAATCTGAACTTGTTTCGTGCAGGCTTGTGTTTTCCCCTCATCTGTGCCTTGAGTACCGTCAGTTCCTGATGCAGCCGCTCCACGGCGCTTGGACGGCTGCTGAGAGCAGGCTTCACTTTGCAGTGTCAGGCTCGGGGGAGTGCCTGATCTCCCAACTGAGGGACGTCGTCTCAGGTTCAAGCCAGTGACATGTCCAAGGTTCTCCCCTGGGCTGTCGTCTAAGGCACGTTTCTTCTCTCTTCCTTTATTTTTCATTTTTATCTTTTATTTATTTATTTTGTTCGTGGAGAAATTCTGCTCTCTTTTCATTCCATTCCCCACACACTTTTTGAAGCCCCCACATACGTCCAAATATAATTACTTTTCAGCGTGTAAGTGTTTAATTTTTTTGTTTTTTTGGTAAGTGTTTAAATGAAGTTTCGTATTTTGGTTTTGGTCTTGACATAACCTATGAGAGGGAAAAGCATGAAAGCAAATGAGTGAGTGAGAGTGTGGGTGTGTGTCTGTGTCTTCTGGGCCGTGGGGTGTCCATTTGTATACGTGCACTTTCTGCGTTGGCTCCAAACTCCACGTATTACTGTCTCCTGGTGCTTCTGATAAATTCTTGAGCCTGCTAACCTTCAGTTAAATGACTGTGTTAAACTCGTGTTGTGTAAATAATGAAATATTTGTAATAAGTTTTACTTGGTGTTTGCATTTCTAGTCGGTAATAGGTTTTTTTTAATAAAGCAAAGTTTGGATTTGGCCTAAGAAATTTCCAAATTTATTGTTATGCTTAGTTTGTTGTTAACATAACTATGAGGAACTGATAGCTCATCATTGACTTTTTCCCCCAAACTGGGCAGCTCCTTCCCCCTCCCCCACAAAAAAGGATACTTAGAGCATGTTGAACAGTACAGTGTTAGTTATATTTTAATGCACTACCACTTTAATTATGGTACTTTCCTCCTGCTTGGGTTTGGAAGTGCCGTTTTTTATCACTTGTAAGTTGCGGGGGTCTTCCCCAAGCAGTGGATGGGTAAAACATTCTTTTGAGAAAGTTACGTAACTCCTGGGTCATAAGTTAGGTTTTGAGAGAAAGATAAATTAATTCCCTTGGCCCACTGAGTTCCAAACTCATGATTCTGAAACGTTTCCCCAGGGGTGCCAAAAGCAGAGAACTTCTAGAACGTTGCTTCCCGGCTCAGAGGCCTCCCGAGGTCAGGTGGTCATCCCTGCTTAGCTGGGCAGAGAACGAGGTGGCACTTTGCATCGGTTCCCCAGGGCAGGGAAGGAAGAGGCTGCTCTGGCCTGGGGCACAGGGGACTACAGCACAAGAGAGGGCTGTTGACTGTAGCCCAGTCTGCCCTGGGCTTTCCCGCCCTGCTGTGTGCAGCTGCTGCTTGGTACTTTCGGTGGGTCCAAACCAGAGGAGGATGGAAGCATACCACCTCCTCCCCCTGAAGGACAAACTAGCTGCACTGGGCGCATAGTAGGTGCCCAATGCGTGTGTGATGAATGAATGTATTGTTTATGATCCATCAAAGTGATACACTTCTTCTGTGGATTAAAAAGTACTCTCCCAGAGGGACTGGTTTTGCTGGGTTTCCAATGAGAAACCCTGGACCCAGGTTGACGCGCATGGCATCCAGCCCTGTAGGATTGTTTGAGAACGTACCCACAGCACACCTAACGATGTTGATGACCCGTCACGTTGGGTCGTCTCTCCTACTTTCACCTGGGGCTCAGTCTTTTCTCAGAAGGCATGGCTCTGCCCCGCCCGGCTCTGCGGTGGTGGGTCACTGTCCACACAGATGCTGGATGGCTAGCTCACTTGGGACGTGAGTAGAAGCCAGAAGCCAGGTCCAGCAGACCTTTGGATCCTCTGCTCGCTGTCCCGCTGACCGCCCCATAGCTTCATTCTCGAGGCAGACTCGTGCTGTCTTTTGCCTCAGAAAGGCGTCCCTGGTGACGTCATGCACGGCTGGAAGAGCCCGGGCGGCTTCGCCTGACCACTTCAGTGCTCACGGGCGTGTAGGAAGGGCAGGGTCCACTTGTTGGAGGGAGAAGCTCTTCCTCCTTCTGAACAGTTGGCCTTCGCTTGCCCGCTGCGCTCACACTGCGCGGCAATCAGTAAGGGAATCGGAGTTCCCTCTCGGGCTGCTTCTTCCATCCTCACTCCTCTTGACTAGGGAGACCTGGTGGGGTGAGGGATGGGGGGCGGTGACCATGGCGGGCTCACTGCGGAAGAACTTGAACCCCGGCTGTTTGTTTGTCATGCCTGTGGCAGCGGACTCGCAGTCACACTGAAAGCTTGCTTTTTTAATTGCCGTGTTTCCGGCAGGCCAGCTGGTAAAACTCTGGAAAACAGTCTTTGTCAGAAGTAATTCTATTATTATCCAAAGCTGAAATGCTTTCCACCTTCATCTCCTTGTGGTCGTTCAGTTTGTCCAGTGAATGTTTGCGGAGCCCACCCTGAGTCTGAGGTGTTGGCTCCACGGGGGACAGGTGAACAGAGCGTGTGCGTTCTCACTCCTCCATAACGTTTCCCTCACGGCTGGACTTTTAACTCCTGCCCTGCCTCGCACAGTTATCTAGTGAGAAATGCCTTTTCT